CTTGTCCAACGCAGCAAATCTTCTAGATTTCTCAACCGCCTTGCTAATATATTTTGAGGTGAAAAACCTGAACCTTAGTAAGAAATTGTTTTGCCGTAAAAAAACGAAAAAGCTCGACAAAGCTGCCGAAAAAACCATACGTCTTGACAGCTCCTTTGTGATTGAAAGAAACGTTTCTTTTTTCACACGTGAGACATTCAATTCGTTTTGCCATTCTGATTGGCTATGAATTCGCGAAATGGGTTTACAAACCGGAAGATACAGATTACAAATCGCAGTAGGTATGAAATTATTTAAAATACTGGTCATAAAACGATATAAAACTTGAAAATGACAATGTAGCAAAAAAAATTGTATATTTGTATACTTGTATATGTAAAATCAAAGTTTTTTAAGGTTGTATCCCGCTGTTTACAACCAACAAGCAATTTAAAGATACTAGAAAGGAGTGCAGAATAATTTCCAGAGTTCAGATACAATGGAATTCAACACTTGGTCCCATTCACCCGCATAGATTCATTCAAAATTTGATTCCAATATGTATATATATATATATACAAGAGAATATGAACTAAGAGAAGGAATCCCCGTGCCCCATCATGTGCACACTTTGATGCTATTTTTGGAATATATTCTAAAAATATCATCCAATAATATCATTTATTTGATCGTTTGATTTTCTGCACGCGCATAGTACGCGCGCGCTCTACGCTGTTTGCTAACGTTTTCTTGTGCTGTAAATGCGCGTGCATAAAAACAAATGGTTCAAAAATAGCATCAAATTGTGCATATGATGGTTACAAGGCTATATAGGGGTGAATCCTTCTCTTAATTCATTAATGGGACATTTTGCTTAGAGGATAGTCATTTTCTTTTTCAAATGTCATAATTCCACCATATGATCTGTTCATCTGTTCATCTGTTAATCTGTTCATTAAATCAAAAGTCATCTGTTATATCTATCTACGTATTTATTATCTATTTAAGTATTTCATAATCATAAAGTGAATTAGAAAGCTGTACATAAGCTTTAGCCCATTGCTAATTTTTTCAATCATTCCCAGGGGAGTTGGATGTTGGATGATAAAATAACATAAACAATTCAGTAATAATTAAATATTGTTTAAGTCATCCAAGATGGCGGCTGTTACCACATGTGCAAAGCAATAATCGATTTCATAAACTTTCTCATTACAGGAGCATGTAACGTAATCTCACCCGAAAACCCAATCATTTGTCATGTTGGAGATGAAGCTTTGTTTAACTGGACTACAGATGACGGAAGAATAATTTATTCTGCTAACTGGGGAATAAAAAATGGGAACCATCCTGATTCTCAGTTTATCAAYACCAATGTGTTCACAACTGTTGTGAACTACAACAAAAATATGGATCCTAAATATCGACAGAGGGTTTATTTTGTTGGTAACCTGACAATGGGCCGTGCTTGGTTTAAGTTAAAGAATGTGAGCGTAAACGATGATTTGAAATATGTTGCAAATATTCATGAAAGCAAAGGCGGAGTCCTCGCTTACATCGTACAGTTGGAAGTTAAGAAAAAAGGTTTGTTTGTCTCAAATATTCATGATTAAAATGCTTACAGCAGGAGTATATTAACTTTGTTTTGCTGATTATATAGCTAACATTACGTGGACCACGCAAGTGGCGTTAACTCAAGTTACAGATGCTACTACAACATCATTTAAGAAAAATGGTGAGAAGCAAAATAAAACATTTAATTTCATAAAATTTTATTTTTATTCAAAGTCCTGGAAGCAAGGGAGACAGTTAAATAAAAATAAAATAAAAACGATGAAGTACATAAATAATAAAGTCCCTTTGGCGCTTATTTTTATTTTATATTTATTTTTATCAAAATATAAGTCATTCTGAGATTCATGTTCAAAGAATTTTCTAATTCT